TCTCGCTCTCTCTCTCTCTCTCTCTCTCTCTCTCTCTCTCTCTCTCTCTCTCGGGTAAACCATTGTCACAGTCATCTAATAAAGTCAAGATCACTTGGCATGGAGTGTGTAGGTACTAGGTAGCAATCTGTGTTCAGACTATTTGGTGCTCAGACATACTCTACTAATTTTCCGGTCGCTTGGTGGAAGTCACATCCTATTCATGTGCCTGAAGTGATGATACATAGGCTATTTTACTGTTTTTCATGTTTTAATTAATTTATTTTCCCTTCAATCACTGATTTCAGAACTCTCCCAAATAAATACATGGCACATTTAATGTTTAATAATACTAAAAATAATACTATTAAAAGCGAATGAATTAGAAAACCGTCTGTTATTCGCTATAAAAACGTTCAGGCTCCGTTTAAAAAGCTGTCCGCCTTAACGTCATTGTGCTGCCATCTAGTGTAGGGTACGAATCTCCTTATGATTTCATCAGGCAGCTAGAGACGGACACAACAATATGAATTCGATTCAGCAAGTAAGTTCTAAATGTAGTCCATTATTCAATGTACACTACCGTTCAAAAGTTTGGTACTGGTAAAATCAAACATACATTAAAACAGATGGGAAATATTACAAATTTAAATAATTGTGTTCTACTTTCATATATTTTAACATTTATTTAATTCCTGTGATGGTAAAGCTGAATTTTCATGATCCTTTAAAAATCACTCTAATGCTTATTTGGTGATTGTTGATTATCATCATCAATGTTGGAAACAATCCTGCTGCTTAATACTTTTGTGGAAATTGTGACGCTGATATGGGGATTATGTTGCAAACAGCTGTCCTGTTTTATATTTTTGTGGAAATGATAATATTGTTTATTCAAGATTCTTTCAAAAATAGAAGGTTCAAAAGAATAGCACTGATTTAAAATAGAGATCTTTGGAACATTATAAATGTCTACTGTCACTTTTGATCAATTTAATGCATCCTTGCCAAATACAAGTATTAATTTCTTAAAAAAAAAAAAAAAAAGATGATCAGACAGTGACAAAACACATGAGATATTCTTCTTAAAAAGACTCATTTATTATTGACGTCATAATAACACAAGACCTGATCACATAAGCACACAGACTGACATAAACAGAACCATATATGCAGTGACAAACAGTGGTACAGAGTGAACAATGAACAGGAATGTCTACCGGTGTGAACTAACAGTATTTCAGTTAAAAGCAGGTATTTATACTGTTAAGGCCTAATCTCACTGTTTCTGGGACGGCTTCAAGAGTGGATGCCCGAAGACAAGACAACTACACACGCAGACAATAAGGCAACAGGTGTTCAAGCACCTGAGAGATAGCAGTAGCACAAAAATACAAATATACTACTTTGTACTACAAACAAATTGTACTACCGGGTATATTTAAAAAAAAAAAAAAAATGTTGCAATGTTAAAATGTATAAACAGTGATAAAATTTACTAAATTAATGCTTCTAATTAGATTTTAAAAGCATAATGAAGGTTACAGAAGCTCCTTCCATTTAAAGAGACACTTTCTTATCTTCCAGTTGAAAGTGCACTGGTCCCCCTACTGGTTGTAGTGGTGAAGTCAAATATTTCTCTGTCTTTGGTCCCAGTTAGACAGGAAATGAGACTAACAGAGTCTGCGGCTTGACGTGAGTTGAGGGCTGAGCGTCAGTGTGTGCGTGTGTGAACGCCCCGTCAACACCCAGCAGCTTTACAGTTTGGGTTGGCTTGACAACTTAATCTTCAGATTCTTGGCCAGTTTGTCCAAGAACTCAAAAGTGTTGAGGTAATCAGAGCGTGTGATACTGCAAAGAAACAAACAGAAAAAAAAAAATATATATATATATATAAAATCTAAAATAACTTTACACAGGCTAATAAAGTCTTGTTGCTATCCTTTAAAATCTGCATTAATATCAAGTTTTCAACGTTTTTTATGCCATATCAAGCATTTAACGCTGAATTCATGCAGTCCAACACCACTCAAACCAAATATGATCCACAATAAATACCAAATATTTCAGAGCAAGTGTCCCAGAGTAGATAATGGACATACTTAGACATGCCCTTGATGCAGATGGCCAGGTCCTTGGTCATGAAACCAGCTTCAATGGTCTCGACACAAACGGCCTCCAGTGCCTCAGCAAACACCCGCAGCTCTGCGTTCTTATCCAGCTCTGCCCGGTGCAGCAGCCCTCGTGTCCACGCAAAGATAGAGGCTGATGGGACAAAAATGATCATGAAAAACAGTTTTGTGTGCATCATCTGTGGATTTGATTGATTAGGAGTGGAAGCAAAGCAAGTATGTTTTCCTCACCAATAGGGTTGGTGGACGTCTCTTTGCCCTGCTGGTGCATGCGATAGTGCCGTGTAACTGTGCCATGAGCTGCCTCGGCTTCTACTGTACGCCCATCAGGACACACAAGCACACTGGTCATCATACCCAATGACCCATAACCTAGAGACAGAGAACAGTGAGCTTACTCACTATAAATTACTTTTCATGATACCTTCCATAATTCTTTTACCGAGTAATGTCATTACGCAAATGCATGATAGGTTTTAAAGCAGATTCAAGCCACCACAAAAACATGCACAAATTTGAAAAATTTTAAACAA